TATTTTGACACGCAACTTATCCGGTTAACCAAGCAAGACAGCAAAACTAAGTTAAGTTTAATATTATAACAGGGCATACAGTGAAAGATATTGGGGAAAAGTGAGAAAAGATCAGTCCCCCAACTATCTACTAATTCTCAACTTGGTACCCCAATAGTTTAATATCTCTATTAAGTCTCTCTAAACTATTTAGACAAATTCATTTAGTGATTATATAATGGAGAAAAATTATCCTCCTGTGTAACCTAATTGATGCTTCCTAACTTTAGTTAATGTTTGGCATAAAGTTGCATTGGGTAGCTGTTTTTTTTTTGAACTACCATTAATTTTTCTGAACAAGACAACTTTACTGCAGCATTGTATTTGGTCCTTGTAGCCATCGCCATAACTAGTACGTAATTTATACCGTAAGTGTTCATAACCTTCCAATCTCCGCGTGCGATGTAGCTACGGTTTTGTCAGTAACGGCCAACCTAACAGGCTAACATGGTCTGTTTCTGGTTTATTTGTCAATCAAATATCTACTTACCGTTTAGTGTATAACTTTTAAGATAAATATATGGGATAATTGCAATATAAATATATTAATTTTTATTTTTTTCAATCGAGTAAATGAATTTTAATTTTTTTTCATTTGAATACATTAGTGTTTTTCAAAATTATCAATCAATTACTTCTATCAATTTTTTCGTTAATGGATGACGTGTTCGATACCTTCAAAATACCAAATTATCATTTTATATTTTTTCTCAATTAAGTAATGAATTTTAATTTTTTCTTTTTTAGTACATTTTTTTTTAAAAAAATTATCAGTCAAGTATTCCAGTCACTTTTTTCATTAATTGATTAAATATTCGAATAAGAAATTATAATTTTACCCTCTTTTTATTGAAAGAAACTTTCTCCTCAAATTATTTTACTATTTTATAATCTGAAAAATAATTAAAAATTATTTTTTATCTTTAAAAATTCTAAACTAAATTCAATTAGAGTGCTATTAAAAAAAACTCGGTTAGGTTTAAAAGTAAAAATTGAAGAAAAACACAAATGAATTTTCTTAATGAAAAATCACATGTTTGTGTTTCTTTTAATTTTTACATTCAAAACCTAACTAATTTTATTTTATTTTAACAACATGCCTTACTAAGTTTAATTTGAGGTTTTATAACTAAAAATATTTTTTCTAATTCTTTGTCAAAGTTTAAAATGGTAGAATAATTTAAGAAAAAGTTCCTTACAAGCAAAAGATGAAAAAAAATGTAATTTGGTCTTCGGGCGTATCATCAATTAATGAAGAAATTGATAAAAGTACTTGATTGACGAGTTTAAAAAAATTGATATACTCAATTTTAAAAAATTAAAGCTCACGTACCTCATTGAGAAAAAAAGACAAAATTATAATTCGGTATTTTAATGATAACATACATGTTATCGGTTAATGGAAAAGTTGACGAAAGCACTAGATTAATAGTTTTAAAAAAATTGATGTATTAAAAAAAAATGATATACTTAATTGAGAAAATGTTGAAAGTTGAAATACTTATATTGTATTTCTGTTAAAAGGTTGAAAGTTGGTATGTTTATATTGTAATTATCTCTTAAGATATATGTACATATATATTCAACGTCTTTTATATATCTTTAAATTTTTAATTACATTCCATCTATTCTTGAAAATTTTTTAAATGTTTAATTTGTTCTTCCTGTCAAATTTTTAGACTTTAGAAAAAATTTTTTTAACTAAAATGTTCTTTATTAAAATATGAAAAAAAAACACACCTAGAGTCACATGGCTACATATTCTATTTTTAAAATCTTTAGATCGTGTTTTTAAATTAGAAAAATTTATCAAAAGGACATATTGAACATTTTAAACACTTTTAAAGACAAATGAGATGTAATTAGAAATCTAGACACATATGAATTTTTTTTAATATTGTATAAAAACATATGAATATTTTTAACGTTTAGCTTAAAAAAGGGTACATATCAAATTGTTTTTTTTTTCCTGTTTACTTTATATCTTAATAACCTTATTTAATCACTCTCTCTTCCTAATATTTATCCTTTTTTTCCGCCTACAATTATTTCGAAAACTTTCTTTTCAACTTTTTTATTTTAATATTCAACATCAATATGGATCTTTGTTCGTTGTTTCTTTTTATCTTGTACAAAAAGACCTTAAAATATTTGATTATATGGATTGAAACAACCTAAATATCCATAAGCTACTCATATAGAAAAGCTCCGAAGCTTATATTGCAAAAATAATTCAAGCACGTGCATATATATATATAAAAGCTACTTTCTTTTTATTAATTTTTTATAAGCTACTTTAAAATAACAATTTAGGGTTAAACTAAAAAAAGGAAAAAAATTAATTTAGATAAGTGATAAAGAGAATAATAAAGATAAATATCGTTAATAAAGAAAAATTAGTTTTTACGAATAAAAGAAGTTACATATATATATATAGAGAGAGAGAGAATTGAGCGAAGTGACTCTAGTATCTTAATTATAGCTATTAAATGAATAGTTTTGATTTTAAATTATTATGTATCTAGAAAACTTTTTTAAATAACTCGTGATTGTTATATTCGTTCGATTGAACAACGAAAGATTAGTTTTAGCTTTTAAACTTACGTCATCGTGGGGATTAAAAAAATATATATGAGGAGACATTTGCAAAGCATGGCAGTACATGAAAACTAGTTATTTTTTTTTAAAGAATAAATAAAACAATAACAACCTTAAAAAAGTAAAGTTACAAAAGTTTCAATATCCCATATTTATCTTGATATTTAACGCAGTACAGTCGGTATTGCTTATTCACATTCATGACCTTTTAACTACAAATTCAAGTAGTATAGCTTTCATTTGAATTAAGCTGTATTTATTTTTAATGTAAATAAGTACCTGATTATGCACATGCGATCTTTTCAAACACCATTCGTGATATGGTATGAAATATATGCGCATGCTTTTTCTTTTTATTGCATTTTATACTATTAAAATAACTGCAATTATACGATAAATTTCAATTAATAAAATAATTCAACTTCAAAATAAAATTTTAATGTTTATTCTGTATTTATTAATTTATTTAAAAAAATTATACTAGTTTATGTTCTTTATAGCTATTATAATTCAAATAGTATAAAAATAAATTTATTTAAAGCATAATACAGTATTTTTTGTTAGTTTTTGCTTTAATTATATGGGTGCTCCTAAAAATATATTGCCATGTGAATTGCTAACATTAATTTTTTTCATTTTAAGAATTAAAAAAAATAAAGAAAAAAATATTAACAAGTCCGAAAAAATAATCTCTCATGTTTCCATATATGATAAGCATTGAAATTAAATTAAGAAGTATAATAATTTTTTTAAAAATGACTAAAAAAAGAATTAGAGAAGCGAGATAAAGTTTTTATATGGTAACAAGTTATAATTCTAGTATTAGTATTTGGTATCATCATATAAATTTTTTTAAAATATTTAATAAATAATTAAAAATATTATTATCTACTTATTGAATACCATAAAATTTATCTCATTATATTATGAAGATAACAATGTATTTATTTCACCTATTAAATTGCTGTCTTTTATTAAATGAAAAAACAGAGAAGAAAACTAAAACATAGTAAATGGTAGTGTAAAGGGAGGGTGGCAAAGAGGTAAATAAGAGCACGGAAATGCTGGGGAAATGGGAATTTTGAAGAAGGAGAGGCGGGAGGGGGCCATGTGGACAACTATAAAGCCACCACTCGCATTTCCTTCCACCCACTAAACCGCTGGCCCAAAATCCTCTCTCTCTAAAATTTTATTTACTGATTTTCTTTTTCGGCTCGTGGAAACCACAACGAAAGCTGAAAAACCCATAACAGAAAAAGAAACGTAAAAAGTATATATAAAAGTCATTTAGCAAGCCCTAGAAGATACGGGAAAGAGAGAGAATCAAGGGGTTTTTGGATCCTAAATGACGCTATAGCCCTTCTCTTCCTTTCCCATCTTACAAAATTTCTTGTGTTTGTTGAGCTCCTGCGTCTTCCTCTCTCTCCCCTCTCTGAGGTACGTACTGACTTCGAGATTTTTCTTCCTTTTCCGTCATTTTCTTGTTTGATCTGGTAACAGGTTTTGTTATTGTGTTTGGTTGCTAAGAAAGTTTATGCAATGAGAGGATAATGAGGTTTTTGAAATGTAATGGAGAGATCTGATTTTAAATTTTAAATCTTTCCTTTCACTTTCTCAGCAACCAAACGCCTCTCTCCCTTTGTTTTTTTTTCTTTTTTTAGAATGTAAAAACGAATTTTTGTTATTATTTATATTGTAACTATTATTATTTCGGTTATGCGTTTGGAATTTGTCTTTTTACGGTCAGATCTGCTCTGTATGTTTGCTACTTTTTTCCCTCATTATTACGTAAGATGTATATGCGTATAAAAACCAGAATTTTTTTTTTGAATTTTTTTTTGGATTCTGATGAAGTTTTTGCTGCTTCCTTTTGTGATAGGAAAAATTCATTCCCCGTTTTGAATCTGCTAAATTTCAGTCTAGAAATGAAGCTTGTTGGTACTTTGATTGGTCTTGGTTTAAAATTTTCACAGGAATAGAGAAAATTCTAGAGCTCTGTTTGGTTTTTTCTTTTTCAATTACACTGGGAAAGAAGGAATATACTGCTTTTCAAATTTAATTATATAAAAAAAATGAAGATGGGGAAGCCCATTCCTAGAAATAGAAATATGTTTGCTTATTCATGAAAGTAGGACTTGCCCGTTTTATTTTCTCTTTTACCTGTTTGGGCTTACCATTTTTACTGCCCTTCTCTGGGAATTGGTAATTCCCATTTTTCATTTGACAAGGTGTTGTTTCTGCTTAGTTGTAATAGTGTACATGTTGCAGGAAGGCGTTGTCTGAGAAAGTTTCCCGTCCTTTGTAAATTTCAATTCAATTGAGTCTTCAGGCTCTTGCTGATTTGTCGATTCTACAATCACATCATGGTTGCCACTGCAGCTACGTCATCGTTTTTCCCAGTTCCTTCCCTGTCTGGAGATGCCAAGTCCTCCAAGGTGGGTAGTGGGTCTTCAAGTTTGGGAGGAATCAAATCGAAATCTGCTCCCTCTGGGGCTTTGCAGGTTAAGGCAAATGCCCAAGCTCCTCCGAAGATAAATGGCTCCCCAGTTGGCTTGACAACATCAGTGGAAACTGTCAAGAATGAGGACTTTGTGTCATCACCGGCACCTCGGACATTCATCAACCAATTACCTGATTGGAGCATGCTTCTTGCTGCAATTACAACCATGTTTTTGGCAGCAGAGAAGCAGTGGATGATGCTTGATTGGAAACCGAAGCGACCTGACATGCTTATTGACCCCTTTGGTATTGGGAGAATTGTCCAAGATGGTCTTGTCTTCCGACAGAATTTCTCAATTAGGTCGTATGAAATTGGTGCAGATCGTACGGCATCTATAGAGACGTTGATGAACCATTTACAAGTATGGTTATGTTTTTAATATTACTCTTATGATTAGAGATACAATCTTCTCAAGGTTATATTTGGTTGGTGTACATATTTTCTCATCAAGCTTGAATTCGTTCTTTTTATTTTTCATTTGGTTGCAGGAAACAGCACTTAATCATGTTAAGACTGCTGGGCTTCTTGGTGATGGATTTGGTGCAACCCCAGAGATGTCCAAAAGGAACCTGATATGGGTGGTAACTCGCATGCAGATTCTGGTAGATCGTTATCCTACATGGTGAGACATAATCCAATCTATCTAATGCAAGAATCCGTGATCTTATGTGTTGTTTTTATACGTAATAAACTATAATTGTTGTTAGTGCTCTTTGTAGTGCCAAGTTGTTTCCATATGCCATATGAAACATTTTTATGCTCAATATGCATCAGATGATTAGCTGACACCTGACCCCTTGGCACTAGGTCTTGTTGGCTCGATGCTAATAGAGGGCTGACCTATTTTGTCTTTCAGGGGTGATGTTGTCCAAGTAGATACTTGGGCAGGTGCATCAGGAAAGAATGGTATGCGCCGTGATTGGCTTGTCAGTGATGCTAAAACTGGTGAAACTCTGACCAGAGCCTCCAGGTAGAAAACTGTTTTCAATAAATCCATTATTTTGTAGTTATTTTCAATTGCTTCCTCGATCTGCTGACTAATTGATTTTAAACATCTGGTTTTGAAAATTTTCAGTGTGTGGGTGATGATGAATAAAGTGACAAGGAGGTTATCTAAAATTCCTGAAGAAGTTCGAGGGGAAATAGAGCCTTATTTTCTGCCTTCTGATCCTGTTGTGAATGAGGACAGCAGAAAACTGCAAAAAATTGATGACAAGACAGCGGACTACATCCGCAAAGGCCTAACTGTATGTATTCCTACCAAAACTTATGTAGTTGTCTTCACTGAAGATTTTATTCCCTATAACAATCTGCTAGCATGTTGTGATCGTTGTTATGTCTTCTCTGACTTGCAGCCTAGATGGAATGATTTAGATGTCAACCAGCATGTTAACAATGTGAAGTACATAGGCTGGATCCTTGAGGTACGTTCTTCAACCGAAAACATTTCAGTTTAAACTTTTAATCATTGCCTTTGACCATCTTTCTTCTTGCCCTTTTTTTCTCCCTACTCTTTAATGTGCAATTTTATAGCAATTCATTAAAATGGATGGACAGAAAATGAGAAAGATATCCTATCGGGAAGGCTACTTGTGATGTGATTTGGTCAAAATTTATCCTGTTCAACGAATAAAATTTTACGAGCATGCATTAGTTGACATTCTTATTGACCTCTAAATTTTGCTAGGCAATTTATTTATTTTGATCTCCTGAACCTGTTCTTGCCTATACAAGACAGTTAATACTGAACTTGTTAACAGTGCTAAATTAACAATTGCAAGTAGGTTGGAGTTTGCTTGCAGTTTGTGCTCTGTTCAGTCTAATTAATTAATCTTCTGTAGTTTGCCCAGCAGCTCTAATTGACAGCTAGGCTGGATAAACACTAATTTAGTTTGAGTTCAATGATTGTTTTGGTTTTATAATGCATGCCTTAGCTGCAGCCCTGTTTCTTTTTAAACCGTCAACTTTAATGTCTATCTTGGTTTATATCCCACTGAAAGGAGACAATCTTTTTCCAACCCACATGGTGGTGGTGTTTTTTTAGCTGGTGTCCTCTGGCCAAGCTTGAATAGAATAATGAGTGGTGTCAGGCAGTTGAGAATTTTTGCGTTTTAGAATTTCTATCCCAATCCAGTTTTATGTCAGAAAGCAGAGCACACTCAAATTTGTTATTGAACTGATTCAATCCACCTCTCAAGTATCAATTTTTTTTCCCTCGTTTTTACCTCACGATATTGTGCTTGTTGCTGCAGAGCGCTCCTCCGCCAATCCTGGAGAGTCATGAGCTCTCTGCCATTACTTTGGAGTATAGGAGGGAGTGTGGCAGGGACAGCATGCTGCAGTCCTTGACCGCTGTATCTGGCACTGGCTTTGGAAATTTAGGCACTCCTGGTGAAGTTGAGTGCCAGCACTTGCTGCGGCTTGAGGACGGTGCGGAGATTGTGAGGGGAGGAGTGAGTGGAGGCCCAAAAATGCCAACGATTTTGGTATGATGGGTCAGATCCCAGCGGAGAGTGGTTAAAGTTTGAGAGATGCTGTGGCTGGAGTGGCATTAGTCTCCTTGCCGCGTGTCACATTGCTTGTGTAGAATCCTTCCTGTTTTGAGTTCCGAAAAATATGTTTTTTTAATATGTATGTATTTATATATAGTTTTTCCCCCCAATTTCTTGGATAAACGAAAGCTGTAAGCACATTGTAATTAGCTGTTGACTTATTCTCTCATTTTGGAAGTTGAGTTTATTTTTTATGTTTTCTTAAGGGGTACAGGTAACGTGAGCCATTCGTAAAGGAATTTTATTTATCTTGGGAAAGAAAGCGTATTAACTCTTTACCAATTTTAAATTACACTTACTAAATGCTCAGAGTATTGTTTATCAAGGAATTTTATGACTCTTGGTCTTAATAATAAAACGCGAAAAGCAAACATGCGGATTAGGAGTTTAACGACCCCAATGTATTTGGATTGTTTCGAAAAAGAAATTTGTTAATATTCAAAACTTGTATATATACATCCTCTAAACAGTAGTTGTAAAATTAAATCAAATTGTTTTTTAATTCAAAAATATTTCTTATTCTTATTCTTTTACTCAGAACTTATTATCTAATCAAGTTTAAAATTTTTATTCAAAAATAACTTATCTCTTAGTATTATCCAGTTAGGGTTTAGAAAACATGCAAAAGTAGTTACAAGGAGAAACTAATAATTGTTAATGTTCAAGAAAGAGCAAATAATAATAATAATAATAAAATAATGAAAGGTTAGGATGATAAGTTATTAATTATTGCAAACCTCCCATGTGCGAGGGAATAGGGATTGATATTTGTAGTCGACAACTATATAATATTTGCTGTTAAATTGTACATAGTTCTTAACTGTGTCTTCCCCAATCTCCGCACTTCAATTTATAATTTTTCAAAAAATTAAATCATATTTAATTATTTCAAAATTCTAAATTGTTTGAAAAAGGGATGGTATGTAAGTATATTTCTAATTGAAGATGTTGAGTATTTATTGATTCATTGGTTTTATATCTATATAGTTTTTTGAAAGTTATGAAAAAAATTTATTTGTAAATTAAAAATTTTAAAATATTCATTTAGTTTGAATTAATTTAATATATTTCTATAAAAATATTATTACAATTTTTATTTAAAATTAGTTTTGACACTATAATTAAGTGATATTAAATGACTCAACTGAAAAACATTCATGGATCCACCACCACTAATTTTTATGTAGCATTCAATGTCTATAAAATAAAAGAGTGTTAAACTTGAAGGAAAAAATCAAGAAAATTTATGAAGATTTGTTATCTGGAGTTGAAATTTGGTAGAAAAGTAATGAGGAAAAAAAAAAAAACAAAATTTCATAAAATTTCTTGATTTTTCTTTCTTTTCTTCCAAGTTTCATACATTTTTTATTTCTCAAAATATTAAATCTTCACATAAATCCTCAAAAGCTTCATTAGTCTTTCAATTTTTTTCTCTCTAAATTTTGTACTTCTTAATTTTCTAAGCATTAAAAATACACGCATCTCTAATTAGAGATTCCATGAACCACAAACACTATAAATTCGTTTGATACAGTCCTTAATGATGTTATTGATAATTTTTTTTAAAAAAAATCTTCCAACGACTGTGTTATATATATATATAAAATACAACAATGTATAAATAAGTTAAAATCATCTAATTTTATTTGAATATTTAGCTGTAATTTAAACAATATAATGAAAATACGAATCATAATAAAAACTAAATAAATAAATATCTCGCGTAAGCTTGCAACTATTTGAGAAATGTATTAAGATCATAATAATATTGACTTTTAAGTGTCTCGATTATATTATAAAAAAATATTTAAACAAGAGATTTATGTAATTGTCTAATAAAATATGATTTAGTTAATAAGATAAAAAATTATCGATAGAGATTGAATTAAAAAAATATTTTGAAATAACAATTTAATCATAATATCAAATAAGGTCCAAATATTTATACGCCGAAATAATGTTTTATAATTACCAACAAAACAAATCGGTACCACCCACAAATATGCTCATGATGATTTGTAGTGGTGATCCCATTCCTCAAAGGGAAACAAACTTTAGAAGGAGATAAAGGTTTGTAATAATAATGAGTTCGGTAAGAGAATTTTAATGCTACTTAAATAGTCGGCATGGAAACCCATTTTTATTTTTATTTGTTTTTAATTTGGAGTTAATTTTATTTTATCTCTCCACAATAAATGAATTTTATCAATTTCTTCTTAAAAGATTATTCTTTATCAATTATCCTCATAGATTGGTTAATTTTCTTTTACTTCTTTAGATGGAAAGAAAGAATTTGTTAATAAATAGATGAAACATAAATAAAAAAAAGTAATAGATAAAGATCGCTTTTTTTATTTTTTGAATAAAATTACTGATGGGTATTTTGTTTTGAATAAAATTACTTGAGTTGAATTTAATGTTTTAAAGCGTGGTTCTCTTTACTTGCCAACAACCTGCCAACTTGGCAGGCTTTGGATGCATGTTCTCAGTGGTCCGAATGTTGAATTGGGCGGCACGTGTATGTTGGGCACCGTTTTAGTTGTCGCTGATCTGTTTAGGAGGAGGTAGGAATTGACCAAAAGGTTATATATGATTGCTGAGCGCTGGTGGCATCATTTATCAAGAGTAATGAAACTTTTGATGTGTTCTCATTCTAAACCATGTGCTCCTCCTCCTACCTTTTCCGTGTGAGCCTGATGATGCACGAAAAATTACTCTCCATTATTTCTGGTTGGAGATCTGCTACTGTCGCAATTAATTAGATACATTCAACACATTACAAATACACACATACAAATTATTAGTTAAATTTTTTTCTAAATAAATTATCTTTTATTGGAAAATTTAAATTTATTACATTATAACACTCATACAATAACAAAAATATGTGTAGGATTAATACACTATGTCGCTACAGATATATAGGACCTCTTGGAAAAATATAATACACTATGTTCATGAAAATGTAAAAATCATCCACAAACATCAATTTCTAAGAAAAGGTTACCAACTTATTCTATTTCTAATTTAATTTCTAAACCTTTATTTGTCAAAAATATTTATAAACCTATTTTTAATTTGTTTGATGACAAATAAAAGGTTTTCTAATTTGTTTATTGTAAAATTGTATTAAATTAGTGTTAAATCCTGACTTTAGGAGTTATATTAATTTACCACCAAATCCAATATTGGCTTGACATAAATTTTATGTTAGGAATATTTTAATAATATGTTAGGTGAAATAGTTTTTTTTTTTAGAATCATATTAATTTACCATTGTTCAATGGTGAACTATTTTATCGATTTGTTTTGAGATAAAAATTAACCATGTAGTTCGAACTAAAAATTTTCAAACAAAAATAACATAAAAAAAATAACCTAAATTGCTAAAAAATCGAAACCGCTACTAGAAAATGCCACTTATATGACATAAAAAAACAAAATATAGATATATATCCAAGCAATCTCGTAAAATTATAAGAATTAATATATGGCTAGACGACACATTTATCTATAATATAATAAAAATTAAGCTTAAAATCACATCAAGTCTTGCCCAATCCATAATTAAACAGAATAGCTAGAAGCATTGCTAGAAAATTTCAGGTTATGGTAGTGACTTCCATGGCCAAAATGAAAAGAAAAAAGGCATGGATTTGTTCAACTCAAAAAATATAAACGAAAAAAAGTATACCTTTTACTAGGAAAAACTGAAAACGATCAAAACGGTTGGATAATTGATGAGAAAAACTTATCCAAAGTTGGCTCCCAAAGCTGCCAAAATTGTAGCTTATCAAAGTCTTGTTTTTGTTGTGTTTTTTTTGTTACTTTTTTTTTTTTTGCTAGGGTTTGCTACTCTTTCTACTAGATGAATGTGTGTTTCAGTAAAAAAGAAAACTTTCTTTTATCTATAAGACATGTTAATTTTTATATTATGATTCCAGGGGTAATCTAATCTATCGTCAATCTATCTAAACCGTCACTTGTAGCCCAATTTTCCTTAGGATTAAAGCCGATTTGGACCGAGTTTAAAAGAAATAAATTATAGACTTATCTCTTAGTTTTAATTTTTTGTAATAATCGTATAAATTGAACCTTGTTACGGAAAGTTATGCTCGAAATACTCAAGTATGTTTGAATCAAGAAATTTCTCTTTTTGTTGTTTGTTCTTTTACTTTTCTTTATTTTTTAATTTTCTTTTCCACAAATTAGGGATAATAATACCAATGCATCTTAAAATCTAAAAAATTTATAAGAGTACCTGAAAATTATAGAAAATCATAGAAACATGGACAATATGTAATTTTTTTTTGAATTTTGATTTTTTGGAAAATTTGATAAATAAGGGGTTTTTTTTTTTTTTTCAAAAAAGGGACGGTACCCTAACCAATTTTATTAAAAAATTGAGTTATGACAATTTTTTCTTTTTACAATACTTAGATGAAAAGTCAACAAAAGTGTAAACTTCGGTTGGCTTTTCTTAGTAAGCTTGTAAAGAAAAGTTTGGTGAGAATTAAGATAAAATATCAATCTAGTTGTTATAACGGTGTGCCTTTTTTGGTCATGTTTTCATGAGTGAACTACTCTTTTGGTCATGTTCTCATAGGTGACTTGCCCTTTTAATCATGTTCTTATAAGCAACTTGCTCTTTTTAGTCATTTTTTTAACTCGGCATCTTGCCCATTCGATCATGTTCCAATGGGTGCCTTGCTATCTTTATCATGCTCTTATAGGTGATTTGCTTTTTCAATCATGTTCTTATGGACAACCTTTCCTCTTGGTCATATTCTCATGAATGACTTGCCTTTTTGGTCATATTCTCATAGGCAACCTTCCCTTTTGGTCATATTCTCATGAATGACTTGCCTTTTTGGTCATGTTCTCATAGACAACCTTTTCTCTTGGTCATGTTCTCATGGACGACTTATCCTTTTTGTTAT